TATAAAACATTTCCTGTCTTCACTGTATGTCCTGCATGGGACGTGACATAAATTAGGGGCATTAGGCTGGAGAAATTGCCACTGTCCTCAAATCCAGAACCAATTATTGCAGGCAAATGCCTCAGAGGGCCCTGTTGACAGCTCTTCATTTTCTGTCTCAAGGCACTCAGATCCTTTCCTTCCACATCCCTGATCAGAGACTATCCAAGAATTAACAAGGTCTAAATGTCACACAAGCTGAGAACACCAAGATCTCTCGTGACACAGAATCCTGACACAAGTCCTTGCCTCTGGATTTACTGTTCCTTGATTTCTTTGCATGAGCAGATTCCTGAACTTTTGCAGATCCCAGGGAATATGTGACCAGATATTTCTAATCCCCTTTGCAAGCACTCTGTGAACAAACAGGTGCCAAAAACCACCAGGTTCAGTGTGTAAGCCTCTGGGATGTGTTGAATAGTGTAACAGAAAATGTTAAAGAAAACTAAGTCCATACTTTCATGAAGACATGCACTTTTGGTCACTGCTCCATATAGTGAGAGAGGGGGACATAAAAGCATGAATTTGTATTTTCCACAGGCACAGCAAGCAGGTTCCTTTGTCTGCATTCCTTTTTGTGGTATTTAAGCAGTTAAAGAGGTACCAAATGCTCTAATTAAGAGGTTTATCTCAGTTCAGACTTCTCGAGGTTTTGAGGTCAAGATGACCCTGAGATCATAAAAAGTCTTTTCCTTCCAGCCCCACAGCCAAAGAAGAAGTGCAGGTGTGTTTGTTTTGCTTCTCAAGGGTTCTTTATTTTCTCTTATCTATAACATTCTTTCTCTGACCTGCTGAGCTCTGTCTAGCAAGTCAGATTGTGGCATTCTGTCTGCCCTCTAGGGTGGTGCTTACATTTTATACTATGAAATACGTGTACTTTATTTACGATTAATTCCCAATACCTATCACCTATGTTAGACAGTGTGTCTCTACTCTAAACCAATAAAAAAGTGTCACCATCACAGTGAAAGATGGAGGACAAGAAGAAGGAGAGGAAGGACAAGACACACCCAAATTCCTCCATCTTGCCTCCTGAACCCCATTCTAAAAAACCCCAAAATTCTACTTTTTCACCCTGTGTTACATTAACTCAAACTCTTGTGACCTGTAGATCTTCACACAAAGTTGACAGTTTTTTCCACGGGCTAAAATCAAAGCCACAGCTGTTTTTGACTTCATGCTAAGGTCTCCAAGCCCCCTGCCAGGGTCTCGAGACAGCCAGGGCAGCCAGAGGGGTGTCCTGGGTTCCCGCACAGACTGAAGGAATTGGAGCTATCCATGGCGCTAGTGCTTTGTTCAATACTCTTGTGGTGGCCTGTTAATATAGAAACATGGAAGCCCAGAATGGTCTGGGTGGGAAGAGACCTTAAAGATCATTTCACCTTCAAGGATCAAGGAACATTTTCCTCTTGACCAGGTTACTCAGAGCCCCATGTGGTGGTTTATCACAGCAATGATATCTCACATCTGGGCATGTAAGATGTGTCTGACTGCCAGGAGGTATGGAAAACATAAATAAAATAAAATTTCATATTGAAGTAGATGTACTTTGAATTTGGTTAATTGCTTTTAGAATTGAAAAACATATGTATTTTCAGGTCTGCTTACTTGGTACTCATGCAGTGGTTGAGAATATAATTGCAAAAATTCAGTTTTCTTAAGGAAGAAATTACACCACATTGGCAGTTTTTAGTAAAGGGAATGCTGAGGGATTTGCTTGAATTCTACCTGTTTTATTGCAGGAAGAGAAAATTTACGTAATAGTTTTGGGGCTGAAGTGTGAAGCACACACAAAAGTATTTCTCAATCCTCATGATATTACATTTTATTATTGAAAATTTCCCAGCTTGCTCAGGGGATGCAGCAGGATCAGGCAAAGAGGAAGATCTTTCTGGGATTCACTGCAGCCTTTGAGAGAGGTAAAGTTTATTAGGAAAGGAAACATAGTAAATCTGACAGTGACTTTTTCTCTAAGAAAAATTGTGTTTTACTGCTTGGGGTTTTTGTCTGACAGATTCAGTTGTGGTTAAGGCAAGGAGCTGGACTTGTTTATCCCTGTAGGTCCCTTGGAACTGAGATTATTCTGTGATTTCATGAATTTAGGAGATTCTATGACTCTGTGGTAAGTAACTTCTCCCAAGATGCCTATTCCTTGTATGTTTCTCATTTTCTTTGTTGTGTGTTCTTCACTTTGTGGGCACTGAACTCTTGAGCTGTGCATGAAGCCCATGGCAGAATGATCTAAAAATCACAGAGTTGCATTGAGTTGTGCTCTAACTCTGATCCATTCTTTTCTTCTGAAGGCTGGTGGTCAGGTGAGCCTTAAATTAACAAATTACCTCACAAGTGTGAAACTGGAAATCTCACAAATCCAGAATTCCAGCAGTTTACTTTGCAGATACTGGTAGAACAAGACCATCATGATGAAGTTTTTCTTTCTCTCCTCCAGATTACAGTTTTCACTCTCAACCTCCCCATCAGCTATTGGAATTAACACTTATTTCTCCCATTCATTTTAACAAAAAAAAATCACCTGGAAGAATGGGAAAAATTACATTATATTAATAACTTCAGGCTTGGAGAAAACATACTTAGAAAAAGGAAAAAAAAATAGATATTTTTGGAGATGCTCGGCATGAGACATTTTGTAAATAGATTAGAAAAGTACTACAGAGGATTTGACATTATTAACACTACAGATATGAAGAGAGTCCAATCCAGAAGGATGCTGATTCTATGGGAACATGCAACACTTGGCAGCTCTCAGGAAGCTCTCAATAATTCTCAAATTCAGGCATAAATTGCTGTGATCCTGAGTCTCCCATTAAAGATGCACTAAATGTTTCCACTAAGGGAAGTCCCAATTATGTGGTTTTATATAGAAAAAGGGAAAGTTAATGAATGGAAATGTAACAGCTCTGACACTGCTGAAGCACTGAGCTGTCATCCTCATAACTTTCTCAGGGAGATAAATATGCTCTTTCCAGCTCCTCAGAAGTTATTATCACATCTGATTTACAAGCAGTATAAAGGCAGAGAAGGGGGGAAATTAGTGGCAATTTTTGAGGTTTTTCGTAATGAAAATTTTAAAAGCTTTTCTTAAATGAGCAGTAGGGAAATAGCACATTTTTCTTAAAGAAAAAAAAATCCTCCATGGGTTATTAACTAGTTTGTATCTAATAAAATAATCATGTTGGCTAACATGCCAGCATACCATATTAGAACCCTCCTGCATTTAAAAGCTTTTTTAAAATCTCAGACATTTGAGGTTCACAACTGCCCTGTAGAACACTCTAAAACCACACAGCTTTTAAACCTTCCATCTGCAAAAGGCAAGATTCACTAAAGGCAGTTCAGATTGGAGGCTGCATTTTAGATAAATTCTTACTGTAGTATGAGTAATCCATACAATTTTTATATCTGTAATTCAGTAAAAATATCCACCTTCTCGAGGCTGCAGTGTATTTCAGTTGTGTATTGAAGAACTTGTTTAAGTTAGAAACCCAGTTTTTATCCTGTAGGAGCATATTAGATTAATGCTACTTATGCTGTCTGTTGTTCCCACCATCTGTCTCTGCTTATTTCACTCTTTTTTTCCTATTCCTGATAGCAGACACAGAAGAAAAATCTGCCTCTACAGCTTTTTGCTGTTCTGATGGCAGCAGCAGGCACTGTCCCCTGACAGCAGAGCCCTGTTGAGCTACACGTTGCAGACGAATTTCCTAAAAGGCAACTTCAGCTCTTCAGGACCATCCTGCCCAAATACAGCAAGGAAGGATGGATGAAATGTGGCTATGGGAGGACAGGTTAATTTGGCATAATCCTCAACTTGTCTTCATTGAGAATCAAACCTGGGTTTGTTGCTATCAAACTCTGTGTATAAACAAATAAATCTTCACATCTCTGTGCGTTTTCTGGTTTTAGCATCGTTTGAGAGTGTCAGAAGTGATGCAGATGAATGCCAAGCCATAGCAAGAGACAAGAGATAATTCATTAAGCCCCGGGCAGATAAAATCTGCACCCATTCAAAGCAGGCAAATCCTCAGGGTTGTGTTTTGAGGTGGGTGCCTGCAGCCTGGGTTTGTCCCAGCCTAAGGGTTTGAGCCAGTCTGGACTCCTGACACACACAGCAGTGGGTGAAACTCAGCCTAAAACAAGATGTTCATCTTTTTTGGGATGAGTCACCTCCTTGTTCCCATTGACTGCTGGTACAGAACTTACTGCCTGTTAAATATGAGAACCTAAACCCTCACTTCATGTGGAGATGTCTGGATTGTGCACTTCCAAAAAAAGAGCAGAAACGCTTTCATTTTAGTTATTTTATGAGGGACCAAACTGTACTCTACAGAAAACCTTGGTATTTCCACCTGTATGAGCTTAATTGTATGAGTTCAGCTGGTTTGATTGATCTTCCAAAGAAACTCAGGGATTTCAGCTTCCTCTTTTAGAAATTTCCCTCCCACCTCAGGTTCTCGGGTCACTTGATAGCTCACAGCTTTATGCCGTTTAACTTTCTCTGGGAGAGTGGCAGGTGGGGGGTACAGAAGAGAGAAGATATGTAAGAAAAGGAGTTTGGTTTGTCCCATATTTTGCAGACCCCATATCAGAAAATGGAAGTGTTCAGGTTTTTTTTTTTTTTTGCCACTGATATCTCCTGAAATATTCCATCTGCCTTCAGCACAGCAACCTGACTTCAATACTTTGATTTTGCAGACTCAGCAGCAGAAATGGAGCAAAAGTTGCAAAAGGAGAATATGCACAACTACTCCATATTTACAGTTATTATTTTTAGGCATCGAGCCTTGGCACAAAAAAAGGAGAAACAATCACCAGCACACAAAGAAGTCAAATGTTCAGCATCCCAGTGTTTGGTGAATAACAGAGCCAGCATGTTTGGCAGGAAAAGATGTTTATGGATCTGATCAGACTCTTGAAGCACATAAAATATCTCTCACACCATCATTGTTTGAAGTGCCTGTGTTTGACAAAGAGATCAGAAAGAGTTCAGAAAGGAAATCTCAGTGGAAGAGGATAATCCAGAGTGGCTTTCAATAGGAAAAAAACAACAGGACTGCTTGTTGCTGTATGTGTTAAAGCCATTACTGATGAAACAGCACAGATCAAAAGGGAGGAAAAAGACGCAATTGAAGAAAAATCAAGATAAGTCAAGATATGCTTTCAGGTGTTTTAAATCAATATTTCACAGTGCAATGTTCATGAATAAAAAATGTTACCTTTTGATGTTAAATAAAATACCCAAAAAACAAGCATGACTAATAAAAATTGAATATTCATTTAAATGTCTTATAAATAAAACAAAATTGGTGTCATAGATAAAGAAAATAAGTGCTTTCTGTGGAAAAAAATTCTGACATCTGCCCTTGGTCTTGTTTCTACTCTGCTTGAGAGAGGCTGAGATATCAACAGCTAAATTCTTGTTTTCCTTAATAAACTTATATAGTGATCAAAACTTTTATAACCTGACATTTTCTTACTCTATGAAAATACATTCTTTTTGAAAACAGCTTTAAATAATCCTTGTGACTCTTTAAAAAGATAAAATTACTAGCTTTCAATAGTCCATGTGACTCTTTAAAAAGATAAAATTACTTCAGAAGCAATTATTTATTAGAGCTATCTTTGTATCTACTAACTGTTTGTCACTACAGAACAATTTTTGTTGCCTACTATTTGACTATTTAATGACCTTCATGTATTCATCCTCTACAGTCTGCAGTGAGGTAAAAAATTGGACTTCCTCTTAAAGAAAGGGGAATTAAGGCAAGGCAAAAGCATTTCATGACATGAAGGAATCTTTTTAACTCTGTAATTGTCACCTTATGTTTAAATTGCAAATCCAACCTTCAGGTTGGAACTGGATTTAACTGTCTACTGGAACCACCTTATCTCTATATAATGCTATTTTAATAGGCACAAATCTAGTGTGTATATTTTAGAAACTGTGGAGTAGATTGCAGAAACTAGAGCACAGATATCACATTCAGATCATGTAAAATTCAGTAAATATCACAAGAAAGCTGACTGTTTCAGTTTTATACTGCATTACTTTACATTTCATGAAGAGCTATCCTTACCCAGACTTCATGCAAGCCATGTGCCTTAACCACATTACTGAATGTACAATAGAGAAAAAGCAGTGTTGGGCTTTTTTTTCATTCAAGGGAAATAAATAAATAAAATTATTTGCTCTGCGTAGAAAAAGTTATCCTTTGGGATACAATGTGGTTTTCACATAATTATGGCATAAGCCTGAAGGCAAAATGCTGGAATGTGGAAGATTTTCCTCACAGGAGTTGTTTTACAGCCTGTCAGCCTGACCTCAGTGTTGGAACATGTTATGGAATAAATCACCTGGAGCAGCACCACGTGGCTTGTGGAGAACCCCCAGGGGACCAGGGGACACCAGGGGTGTGAAAGGCAGATCCTGCTTGGCCAGCCTGATCCTATTTTATCACAAGGTGACTTCAGGGATGAAGGAAAGGCTGGAGATGCCTATGTGGATTTTAGTGAAGCTTTTGCCACCATTTGTCCCAACATTTTCATGGATAAACTGTTTGCTCATGGCTTGGGTGAATATTCTGTTAATTGGGTAAATCCAGGCTGAGTGGCCAGGTGGAGAATGGAGTTAAATCCAGCTGGGGCACCAGTGGTGTCCTCCAGGGTTGAGAATTGGGGTCAGCCCTGTTTAATATCTTTGCAAATGATGTGGATGAGGGAATCAGCCAGTGGTGGAGTCACCATGTTTGAATGGATTTAAAAAACATTTTAAAAATGTGGGACTTCGGGACATATTTTATTGGGATCGGTGGTGTATGTGACCCTAGAAGTCTTTTCCAATCAAAACAATCTTATGACTTAATGAGGTTTTAAATACATTTTTGGAAAGGTCCAGCCAGCCTTGTGGCCTGAGACTAAACTACTGCAGCATCCAGGCAGTCCCAACTACCCAATTAAGGAGATGTTTTCTCTGTCCCAAAGAGAGTTTCTGTCTTAATCCTAAGGGTTCTGCACAGGCACTTCTTGAGCAGCAGTGGCTGTGTGTACCTTCCAGGAAAGGGAAGACACCATGGGAACACAGAGCAGGCAGTAATAGCTCTCAGCAGGGTGGAACTAAGCCATTAATTGTTACCTCAATGGTGTCTTACACCAGGGAGACCCAGATGAACTAAATCGTGACCTGCAGAACTAAATAATGTGTGAAGACAGATGTTTTTTCTGATGAATGAGGTCTTCTCCCTAAAAGAAATAAATTGTTTCCTAACACTATGCTACACATGCTAATGCATCTTGCACAGCAACGGGAAGAGATGTGCTTTGGGAAGACTCGCTGCATAATTCCTTGTTCCCTGATGTTGCTGTTTAGTTCTTTATCTTTGGGATAATTTATTATTTGTAACTCAAGCCCTTCCTAAAAACCTCCAGACTCCACTGTAAGCAAATGCTTCCTAACTGATTGATTTGGGGATTTCCTCCAATTAAAGTAAAACAGAGACTATATCACAACCAAAATTAACATTTGCTTAGTTGCCTATGTAATGGTTGACTTGTGGGGCTGCAATTCTTCAGATGGGTCTCCAAGAGTGGAACTGTACTGAAATAGGTCCATATAGACAAATCACATTATTAAATACAATTTTTCCAGGCAGAATCTCCCAGTAAAAGTGGAGCTGGCTACCAGGGGAAATGACTAGGATTAGACAATTTCTCTTCACAGCCCATTTTGGGATTCACCCGTTATTAGTTCTGACAAACCCTTTTTCTCCCCAGCTCCAGGGAAATTCAAAATTAGAGGTTGCTGCTTTGTTTGGTACATTCAGGGAATTGTACCCTTTAAATATGCATTTGTGTTCACACATTATGTCAAGCCAAAAAATGAGAGAGCAAATGAACTGGTCCTGGAGGGAGTTCTGCAGATCCTGGTTTTTCCAATCATTACTGATAGCACACAACCAATGCTGGTGGATAACCAGGAGGGCTGCACCAAATGTCAAGTACTTCCAGTCACAGATATTCTTTAGATTGTAGGTTCCATAACCCACTAGAAATATTGTCAACTTTGCATTTTATTAATTTGGAATAGAACTGGGAAGCCAGTTTGATTCAATCCAGTCTGGCAAGACTATTTACAAGGGCAGGTAATGACAGGACAAAGGGGAATGGGTTCTAATTGAAAGAGACTTGATTAAAAATAGATATTTACTCGAGGATGGTGAGGCCCTGGCACAGGTTGCCCAGAGAAGCTGTGGCTGCCCCATCCCTGGAAGTGTCCAAGGCCAGGTTGGATGGGGCTGGTCTGATGAAAAGTGTCCCTGCCCTTGACAAAGGGCTGGAACTGAGTGATATTTTAGGTTTCTTTTTACCCAAACAATGATTCTTGGAAAATAACTGATTTCAGCACTGATACCAGTGCTGTGTACCCCCACATCTTACATCCCAGTTTTTGGTCATTGAAACAGAAAATTTGCCAGATAAGACAAGGGAAGCAAAAATCTGAGTCCATGATCTGGGTGACCAGACAGTGAGTGTTCCAAGCTCACACAGAAACTTTGGTCAAAGACGCTGAACATCAGCCTCAAGCTCCAAACATATCCTTATACAGCCAAATTTAGTTAGCCATGGAAATTCTGACAGATGGATCTTTGAATCACAGACTGGTTTGGATGAGAAGGGACCTAAAAGTCATCCAGTTTCAACCCTACAGCCTTCGGCAGGGACACTTCCCACTAGAACAGGTTGGTGAAAGTGCATTTACCCTCTTGACAAGTTTAGTGAGTCTTTATTTTGAGACACTAGATGCTTTTTGAATGATTTATCTCATCTGCCTCAAGTGATGTACAAATTAGTCTGAGCGATTTATCAAAATTTCCAGTCTATGTGATGGACAGAGATAGATAACTACAGAAATCTCTGTAGAAAAGAGGGGGGCAAAAGAGGTTAATTGAATTTCATTAATAATGGTAGAAGTGTTTTGGGGAAGAAAGGGAATACTCATGAAGAAATGGTATTTTTGCCTCTTTTTCCTTGAGCTGTGCATGGATTCCTTGAGCTGTGCTCACATAGAACTACTGGATGTGATATTTATTTTACTAGTGACTGGATTAAGTAGTTGCTTTTGCCCTTTGGGGTAGGTTTAGATTGGATATTATTTAAAAAAAATAAAAACAACAACAACAACAACAACAACAAAAAAAACCCTCAAAAAAACCACAAAAGCTCTCAGCAACCTGGAGGTGCATAGTGAGATGTGGAAGAAGATTACATCTTGGGGCTGCCCCTAAGAGTTCCACTGAAAAGTAATAATTTCCACCATAATTTCCACCAGCTGGTTGGAAAGATATGGGTTGGAGTGTTCATGTGTCACAGGTATCTTCAGTGAACTCACCCAGCTGATACCACCAATTACAAATTCAGGTTGAATTGAAGTGAGGCTCATTAAATCATAGAATCATAGAACCATGGAATTGACTGTATGGAAAGGGATCTTAAAAATCTCAAGGGACGTTTCAAGGTCCCTACTATGAGCAGGGACATCTTCCACTACCCCAGGTTGCTCCAAGTCCCATCCAACCAGCCTTGAACACTCCAGGGATGGGCATCCACAGCTTCTCTGGGAAAAGTGTTGAACTCAAATAATCTTCTTACCCATTCTTTCTTGGAGAACATCATTGACATGTTGAAACTTCCCTCAGGCTCCTAGGAAGAAAGCCTTGCTTAGGATTACTTCTTAAATTGTGAATTTTGTTCCGTATGACATTAACCTGCTGAAAGCAATCCTGGAAACCCCTATAAATACATGTTTCTGGTAAACATAGTTTGCAGTTCTGTTTTCTGCTTCTCCGTGTCTTGGTTAAAATTTTTCTGACAAATCTGTCAGTCCCAGTTTTCTCAGGGGATCATTCCTGGAGCCACATTTAATGCAAAAGCTGGAGGGGGAGGAAGGAAATGACTGTTCTCACTTACTGTGTGATACTGAGAAGCCCAAGGAGTAGTGGTTGGTTTTGGAAAGCATCAGAGGACTGCAAAGGAAGAGAATAAATTCTACAAGAATCCAGAAGGTCATTTGGTTAGTCCCTGAAATGTCTGGCAGATTTTTATCCATGTTCTTGAAATCACCCAAGGGTAGGGGTTGCCTTACACTCCTGATGGGAGACCATCTCTTCCAAAGCCTCACATTCCCTTTTATCAAAAATTTTGACATAAAACTACATGAGTATTCCCTCCTTGGAAGTGTGTGTGTTGCTTTCTATGTTGGAAACAGAATAGTTTGTTCCCTTTTTCTCCATGGTATCTTCAGCAAATTTGAAGACTATCTTTGACTAATTATATAGCCCAGACTATTGCTGAATTTTGTATCTTAAAACAACTCTAATTTTTATCCTGCTAAGCTCACACAGAGCTGGTCTGTGACACTCTGCAATCCCATTGTGGGTATATTCATCCTTCCTGACACAACTTCTGCTTTCTTAAAATCATTTTCTACCTTAATTTGCCACGTCAGAACACAGAGTGGAGGGGGAAAATTAGGTGCTTGGTTTGTTCCTCTTATTATTTGCTTTACTATTTAATTTTCAGAAAAGTCACTGCCCACCAGCGCTTCTGATTCTCTTGAGTCTTGTTTGGATCCAGATGGAAGCCCTGGCTTCATCCAGCCGAGACTGGAGCTGTCTGTTGGGTGAGAAAAAGTGGAAATAAGTCAAGATTTAATCTATTTGTTACACTGGTGTATCACATACATTGGAGATACAGAGAACTTTTCCAACTTTGCCACCAGGAATATATTTACAGCCCCTCTGCCCTGAGGGTTGTCGAAGCCACCGCTTCCTTGTCCAAAGGAAGTGGAGAGGATGGGAGGATACATGGATACATGGATATTAGTTTTGGGATTAGAGTAAAATATCAAACTTTCCACAGACCTGAGTGTTTTTTGTCATTCTTCTTTAAATACTCTTTGAGTATTTATAAAAAAACCGTTGTTGTCAGTATCCTTCTACCTTTGAAGCTGAATTTTTCATCTTTAGGATTGCTGGAAGCTTCAGTCTGCCAAAGCCTTGATCTTAATTTTTCTGAGAAAAAGAAAATTTGGGTTATTTTAGTTTTCTATAAATGAGGGCCAAGAATCCAAGTAGCAAAAGAGAAACATCATATCTTTATTTATCTCTTTAAAGATAATGTTGGAACCTAGGAATACCAGTGCAGTAAGTGATTCACTTTTATCTGGTGATATGTAGCAGGCCATTCAGACCTATTGCTATAAGAAACCCACATCTTCACAAATTTTTTTTTTTTTTTTGTAGAAATCTAATGAAATAAATCATTTAGGGGTATATTTTCAAATGTTTTAAGGATACATGTTGTTTTGCTTTGGTTTGCTTCATTGGTTGTGGTTTTTTTTCATTGCATTGAATTGCCATTCAGAATTAAACTCAGCTGGAGGTTAAGAAAAGGACATGTAGGTGTCCTTTATGAAGAATAAAGCTACAAAAGGTAATAAATAAAACATGGCATCACTAACCACTGGAGACATCTTGTGCTTTTATCTGCACTGTAATGAAATACTTAACTAGTGAACATATGTGATACTTGAAAAAATGACCTTTGCCAAGCAATAATTTTTTGTTTTCCCTTGTCTAGAAATAAATCCACAAAACTGTATAGAATCCTACTATGTTTATAGGTTTATTAACTCTTCTTTTTTTTGTTTCTTACAACCTAATGCAGCGGTGATGAAATACTTTGTGGGGACAGCCCCAGAGGCTCTGTTTAGCTACACACCTGTGAAAACATCCCCAAGGCACTGGACAAAACCAACGGGCTCCAGATGTGCCCTGCAGGGTCCTCACCAGATATTTACTTCATCAGAATGAGAACTTTGCTGTTTGTTGAAGAATGGGGGCAGGACAGGTAAAGCACTGACAATTTACAGAAATCCCTTTGAGCTGGCAGCAGGAGCTGCATGTTTTGGTTTAGACTTTGCTCCATAAACTGCTGGTAGGGAGTCACTCCAGTTGTCCTGGTGAGAGATCCACACAGAATTAAAAATAAAAAAAAAATATATCTAATCAAAGAATGGTTTGTATTGGAAGGGAGCTAAAAAATCATCCCATTCCAAACCCCTGCCATGTCAGGGACACCTTCCACTGGACTAGGTTGCTTGGAGTTTCATTCAGTTTTGCCTTGAACACCTCCAGGGATGGAGCAGCCACAGCTTCTCTGGGCACTGTCTAAAGTTTTATTTAAGTTGGAATCTGTTGTTTCAGCATTCATCTCTTTGCCCCCACAGCATATTTTGAAAACCAATGAATGCTGAGATAAAATCTACAAAGATCTCGGTCTCCACAGGTCACCTTGGGGCTGTTATGTGAAATATTGCACAGAATCCCTGAGGAATCATTCTGGGGTCTCTCATCTTGGAACTCCCTCTGCTGCTTTTGCATCTCTTGCCACAATGGTCCTGGTGACAGTTTGACCTTATCCTGTCTTTTCTGTGGCAGCCATTCAAACTTCATAAAAAGTGCAGCTGCATTATTTCTTCTTTGTCAGCCACGAAAGAGTTCAGAACATCAAAATGACATCAACATATTGCTGCATCAATAGTCACTCAGCATCTCCTTGATGTGAATGGGACAGGTTTTGCTCTTCCACGGCAGTTTTCCATGACTCTGCAGACTCAGGTGTTCTCTCCTTGTCCCAGATGATGTAGAAGATATCAAGTCCAGAGTGACAATTCCACCCTTTTTGATTCAAACAATAATTCAACACCTTAGCAGTGCCCAGGTTTTAAAAATAATCTTGATCTTCATATTTTTTCTTCCTAAAGGGTGACTTTTTTTCCTTCATAATCCTCTAGTTTTCTTAAGGGAGTCATGAGACTGACCTCAGGCAGCAATTATTATTCTTTACCTAAATTTATATGCCTCTAACCAGCTGTAGAAATATGACAAATGAGTATCAGTGGAAACTGCAAACCTCAGACTCCCCTGGGATTTAGCAACTTTCTTAATGAGAAAAACAATAACCATCCCAGTCCTGGGAGGGTTGAAAATAAATGACTGTCTGTTGTTGATATTTTGATATATGGGACAAATATGGTGTTTCTATTGAGAGAGAGTTTAGAGAGAGAGTTTATATAAAAGCAGCTAAAACCCATAGGCTGTGTTCTTTGCAGGCAAATCCACTTCATATCACTAACAGAGAAAAGCAGAAATATGTTTTTAAATCAATACTTTTCCGAGGCTTTAAAAGGAACCTGTTTCCCCCTTCTCTTTTTCTTTTATTTATTTTTTTTTTTCTCTTTACCATTTCTTGAACTAAAAGACAACCTAATGGGTGGAAAAATACCTGGAAAGTCATGTTACAAAATTCACAGCTCTCTCTAAAACTGTCCTTTGGACAGCCACATACAAAGGCTCTGAAGGCCAAAGATGTTCTTTAATATGTCAACAAAATACTTTAGCAAGGGAAAAAAAAAAAGAAAAGCACATGTAAAGAGACAAATTCTAATGGATCTCAGAGACGGAACTACAGAAATATTTCACAGGTTTTCCAGGAATATTGCTATTTTTTCTCTTAGCTTTCAGACTGTATTGTCATACTCTGTGATGTAATATCATTATATTTTATGAAGACTGTATATCACACTTACTTTAATTAACCCAGACAAGTCATTTTCTGTCTGATGGCAAGTTTCTTGGTGTCAAAATAAGAAATGGATTTTATCTTGAAGAGAGCATTGTGACTTTCCTGATACAATTCCCTTGTTGTTTAACCCCAGCTTAGAACTCAGCCCCACAAAACCACTCTCTCACTCCTCTAAAAATGAGTTTTTTGTTGTTTTATTTTTGTTTTAATTTTTTTTTTTAAGTGAAGGAATTTAGCATCTGAAACAATTCATCATATAGTATTAGCCACTTTTAAAGAGTTCAATGAGTTAAAAAATCAAGATTAGCATTGGTGAGGACAAAGTCTCCTGAGTAGTAGCACACCTCTTCTCAGGCCCTGAAAAAGCATTAAAAAAAATTGAACACTATCGGGCTTAAATTTTCCAAATTCCCAGGAACTGGAAGGCACAGAAAACTCCACACAGTGGAGGGGGTGTGTCATTTTGTGACCCTGCAACTGGATTTTCACTGAATGCATTGACTATGCCAGAAAACAGATTAAAAAGGAAAAACAAAGGAAAAGAGACATATTTCCACAGTGGCACACACCACATTTTTCTTGTGAACTGTATTTTTAGTGTTCTCCCATCACATTTCACTCCTCACTCACATTATTCCCTCCCCAAACTTCTGATTCTTTCCCTCTTGGGGTCATTTTATCCTGTAGATCTCTGCCTCCACCATCTGAACTTTACATCATCTTTTTTTCCAGATTTTTCCTCCCTTTAGCTCAGATGTCAAGGGACTTTAGGCAGCAGGGGTTTTAGCAGTTGTGCTCACTTTTGTGGTAGATCTCAGGGATTTTATCACTGTCCACTAAAATCAAGGGGGAAAGATGACTAAGAGAAAAAGAAGTGTTCTTTTAAAAACTTTATTTTATAAAACGTTTGTAGCATAGCTTTGATTACAAATAATGCAAAAAACAGCGAGGTGAAACCAGCAATGGAGTTGATAAGACAAAGCAAGTCTTCATTACACATGAGCAGTGATTGTGTGATCATGGAATAAACACTGAAAGCTTTTCCCAGCCCTGCTGAGGCTTTTGTGGCTCACCCTCCAAATTACCTCTCCTTCTCCTGTTCCACTCCAGGGGTTTTACCTGAGCTGCAATCATCCCTTCAGACCTTCTGACATGGCCCAGCCAGCTCCCCTGGCTCATATTTGTTCCTATTACACTTATTGGCTGTGACAGAAACCAGCAAGGGGCTGTTCTCCCACCCCCATGGAACTGAAAACTGAGTTGTGGTTGGGGAACATTAACTCTCCAAAGGCCTATGGAAATGTTTGCTCTGACTGGTGATCTGGGAGGTTTTATTGTCATGATTATCATCTTGCTTTTCTATTCTTAGCTCCAGTTCTTGCTTTTAGTGCCTGCCATATCTCAAGGGGTTCTGCAGAGACAGAAGTAATTTTCTGGAGAGGAATGTGGAAGTTTCCATGTGGTAAAAAGTACGGAAAGGGAGTGTGGTCAAGTGAGCAGAAAATCAGGATATGAATCAAAGATTGCTGAAACTGAGAGGAACAATAATGTGAACTTCAGGGCCTTTGGGTCCTGGGAGGCAAACTATATCTTATAATGCCACATCTTTGTGTATGGGGCAAAAATTGTAAAAGATCACTCTTCTTTTGGTGAAAAGCTATGTTTAATAATATGTAAGAGGGACTGCTGAGAGCAGGAGACCAGTTTATTTTTTAGTACTTCTTAATAATAATTTGTTCCTTTACTTGTAAAGTGTTTTATTGGGACGTTAAATACAATCCTTAAATCCTTCACTGTCAACATAGTCCGAGTCCAAACCAAACAATGCACAGAGCAGCAGCAAGCCTTTACTCCTGATCAAGGAGGGAATTCATGAGCTCAGAAGGCAATGCCAGGATTGCCTCTCTTGGCCACGTGTAAGGAGAAAGCTCTGCTCCAAAACAAATATCTGTGTTCTTGCTTGCACAGATCAAACCACTATTTATACTATCATGAGTCTGGGAGAAATCCATGGGAGACTGTGAAGAGGGAAAAGATTTCAGTGCTGTGGGCAGAGTGGTGGAAGGGGGAAATGTGGCTTTTTTAATCTTTTCAAACCTCCTCAATACTCCAGACATCACAGGATTGTCTTCTCAACTCATCACATCCCTTTATCTTTCCTCTTCTTTTCTTTAGCTAGTGTCTCTTGGAGGCCTGACATCATCTTCACATTCTTCCCCTGAAATTCTACCACACTTTTGATGCTTTAAGGGTTGGAAATGAGAGTGAGGATCCCAGACATGCCAGGCAAATATTCTGCCTTTTGAGGTCACCTCACAGATATGTTTTTCCCACAGCTGACAGAACAATGAACTTTCTGATTCAATTACAAATTTCCATCTCCCCACACCAGTAAAAAGGAATGTAAATCCCCATCTACACTGCTCATCAGTAAAGCAGACAAAATCAAGCTCATGTACAGGCAGTGATTAACTAAAGAAAAGAAAAATAACATACTAGGATGTCAATTTGGCTTCTCAGTGCTTGTCTCTTGTCCCTTCGTCTTTGGAAATTGCCTCCACCTTTCAGTAGAGGGCAAACCTCGATGAATTTAGTAGCTGGAAAAAGGCAGAAATATTCACCTCATGTAATAAGCTGACAAAAGTGAAGTGATCTTTCCTTTCCTGGTTGCTCTTCATCTTCTAACACAAAAGAAATATTGATGATTTTTAGCCCATGGACACTTCATAGAAGTTGTTGATCATGGAAGAGGGGTGGCTGACTGCCAGGATAGCATAATACATCCTGTTTATGTTTTAAAGCACAGACTATTTGATGGCATTTCTCAGTAAGATCAAAGATCAGAAACTGAATTCTATAGTTATGGATCCAACATGGAATTAATCATATCTGGAATCCACCTGACTTAGAGGAACAAAACACACTAACTGAAGAATTAGTAACAGTTTCCACTCCTGCCGATCTTGACTCAAACATGAAAAGCTGTTTTTTCTTTACATTTTGCCTATAAATCCATATAATTTCGATTGTCTCCAGCTAGTGTTCAATTTCCACCCTAACTTCTTTCTCTGAGTCATTCTAATAAATCCTTTCACACTATCTAGTGCCAGAGTTTTGTGACCATAACCCACAGATATAATTTGCCAGGTGACATCTACAGTGAAGTTCTTCACAACAAAGTTTTCTGATTTTAGTAATATATAAAGTATAAAACCATTGATGAATCCTCCAATGAATTTAGGGAATGGAGAGTCTTTTTTTCAGTCTTTGCACTGTGCTTGCATTTTTTCCTTTGGGGACCTTAAATATTTCAGGGCATTTATAAAGGTTGACTTCTTCTCGCCTGCCTGCCTACCTCTGTGGAGTATTTTATTTGGTCTTATGTCAAATGAAGATGCAGGCTCAGAAGGTTAGTAACACTTAAAAGCACAGGAAAGATCAATATGGGATTTGGAAAAGTAGGAAGAAGCAGCCCTGATGGAACTTTATAGCCCACCAGAGAGTGTTTTTATC